TAACTGGGACAGCTGCCAAACTCCTCTTTGCTTTCTTCAGAATGGTGTCTATTTCATGACCCTTGAAACTGAAAGCTGTCAAGCCTCAAATAAAAGTGTCTTGATTTTAATTTTGGACTGTTTTCACAAACACATTTTAGAAGTGTACACAGATTTCTACTCTTCCTCTGTGTTCACTGCTTTGTTCGGCCTGAAATGCCACCTCTGGCAAAGATGTTACAAAACAATTACTAGAAACTTGATGCTAAAGCAGGAAATATCATTTCTGAAAAGATACCACATCTGAGATTCTGGAGCTTCTCTTCAGAAGATACCACATGTGAGGTTCTTGAGCATCTTCCCCTCACAGGGAAGCCAACACAAGTGCCCCATTGACTACAGAGGGAGCTCCCATCACAGATGCAGCAGTACCTCCCTCGGATGGGAGTGGGCCTGAAGAAGTAGAGATGAGAAGTTCAAAAAAAGGGAGAAAAAAAAACAAACACTCAGCCAGAGGAAAACAGAGGTTTCAGGCAGGCTGATAAAACCCCACACTGACCATCACTTAGTAAGTAAAACTGTGGTCCAGAACACTATTAAAATGAAGATTTCATTGCCTGAAAAGGCTACCTTGCTATAGTTACAGATGCATAGTGCAATGACTGGTAACAACATCTGCCTTACAGGCAAAATCAGAAGGCTGTCTGAAAAGACTGCTGAAGTAAAAGCTGTAGTGTCAAGGTGTCCAGGAATTTCAGACTGCACTGTAGAGATTATCTAGTGAGGAACGTAAAGCAAGCATTACACCGCAAACCTGGAGGCCAAAACCAGGCAATGAGATAACGTCCTAGATAGAATCACATCACAGATTTGAGTAGGAGGTGGTTTCCTTGCCATTAAAGTAGACAAGAATTAAAAGTAGATGCTTAAAAGCAAAGTTCTCCTTCTACTTCATCAGCCTGCTCTGGGAGCTTCCACTGCCAGCAGGCACTAGGATGAGAGCAGGGAGTGCTGGAGCATCTCAACACCTACAGAAACAGGACATATTCACATGCAACCCAGGCAGGGATTAAGGAGCCCGACATTAAGTGCTGGTGGGGATCATGATGAACATTTAGCAAGGCAGGCATGACCCCAGGAGATGAGGCAGTCAGAGGCCAGCATGTCACACTGCCTTACTGGGACAGGTACATTCCTACAAATACACCAGGGCATACTGAACTCCTGCAAATGACAACTTCTAGCACTCCATCCTGCAACTGAAAGCGCTGCCTAAAGACATAGCAGAGATTAAAGTGCAGATGCACACTCAGAATTTGGCATCATGGTGCATTTTTCATATTCCCATCCCAGCAGGACAGCACCTATTTATTGAATGAAAGAAGGATCAGCAGGGAAGAAATGGGTATCCATAAACATCTCCCCAGAATGTCAATGCTCACTAGTACATCCTACCCCAGTAAGTACCCCATCACAAGGGGCAGACAAAACCTTTATTTTTCAGGGCTGTCCTGATATTCCAGTATTGCCCTCAGCATCCCTTCAATATTGTGATATCTATCTCTCAGATGATCACCACTCCAAAAAAATTAATTTTTGAGTTGTTCTTACAAACCTCTTGTGATGTGCAAGAAATCTCTAGGGAACAAAAATTTTTATCAAAACCACTCCAACCACAGCATTTGGCTGTTTCCACAACCACCAAGTAACATAATTACAACAGAAAAAAAAAAAAAGGAACATATTTAAAGCATAGAAATCCTTGTGCCTAACCTCCATGCTTTAGCTTTTCCTTGATCCATTCTTGCTCCCTGAATTCCATCCCTTTCATCAATCTTTAACCCATCCTTTATACTGTGACACACATTAAATTGCTTCCAAGTCAATCTACACCAGTCCCAACACTATTAGTATTAAAATTATTAATAAATCACACATTCCTAGGACTTCTCCATTTACAAAGGCTTCCCTCCCCCGTGTGCATGAATAAATTGTGTTGATGATGCATCCACTCATGCTCTGAATGTGAAAACCCTGATGGCAGCATCAGGCCCTCCAGCTGAGCGCTGCCAAAAGCTAAAGGTCACGTATATTCCTGTTCAGTCCTGGCTGATAATTCGCTCTACCTGCCTCTAGGTATTTCTTTCTTTATTTATTTTTCTAACAGCCCTGCAATGCTGGGCTGAGATGCCCAGCTCATCAGTCAGCTGCCTGGATGTGGACGCCTGCATTTTCACCTACAAACCTGCTTGCTTCCCTCCCAGCCAGCAAAGAGCACCGGCTTCATGTTTGCACCAGCAGGCACAGGGCAATTTGCTTTCTGTTTCAGGAGGAAAAAAGCCTTTTCTGCAATTAATGCTTGGATAGGCAAGCTGAGCACCTCTGCCACATCATCCCCGATGGGGAGGAAGGACGTGATCCCCATGGCATCTCAACCTGTGGGATGCACAGCCAAGCAAACAAAGGAGGGGGGTGGAGGGATGGACCCAGCAGGGCTCAGGGACAAATTCAAATATCCTAGGCTAAGACATAAACTCCTTCGTCTCTGGAGGGCACCAAGAAACTGAAACACCAGCTCCCGCTTTTGTCACAAAAACACATCACCGTGAGGACTCAGTAGCCTCAACTTAATAAATATCATTAAAATCTCACTGCCCCACAAAGCAGCACTCAATGTTTTCACTATCATCAATCTACACTGTCATTTATCTTGTCCTGGAATTCAATGAGAAACTAAACATACCTTCTCCTAACCACCCCAAGCAGAAAAAGGGAAAAATATATTAATTCAGTAATAGAAATTATATGGAACTCACAAGTCAAGACTAGCTTTATAAAAAAACTCAGTCCTTTTGGAAAGAAACACACCAAAGATATATATCCACTTTATTTTTTGCTAGCAGGTAACAAGACAACAGTCACTTTATAGTAAATCAAGGCTAAATAAGGAAAAAGTACCCTTAAAGTACTCTTAAAGAGCAGGAACAGGAGCAGCCTCAACCATAACAAGGGGGATTGACTCCTGTTCTCTCAGAGCAGTTTAATCTTTAGGAAAAAAATACAGCTTTACCACAGAGCCCTAACCTGAACTTTGTCACCCAACATTGGCATGGATCTAAACTGAGGACTGCAGACCTTTTGACAGCAGCCCATTTTAACCTGTAACACCTGGTTTACTCCCATGAAAAACTCCATGGAAGAATTTTTCCTAATGAATGCACAGTAGAAGCCTGTTCGTATTGCAAGCCCCTGGAAATGATGATAAATGAGCTCTACAAAGCACATGCTACTACTCAGTACCAAGCAGGCAGCATTGGCTGCGCTCTTAAGAGGAAGCATTCCACAATGAAAATGAAATTCATTTCTTTTCAACTCCATGGAAGATTTCTTTTTGGTCAGCTTCGAAAATTTTGATCCTACACTCTGGAATAATCAGTGCTGTATTACAGAGAGAAATTGCAGCCGGAAGGCTACCTCTCTGCCTTATATTAAGAAACAGATGGCATTTTTTTGCCCTTTCCCTTGCATCTCAGGCTCCCTCTGAGCAGCTGGCTGCCTGGAACCAGAACTGTAAGAGTGGAAACGGCAATAACTCCTAAGGAGTGATCTAAACAGGAAAGTAAATACAATAGACATGGCTTGCTTTGGCTAAAACGATAATGAACTCTACAGTTGACAAGCAGAAACGATGCATTGTTGTTGGCCAAAATACGAGTTGTTTTAACTACAGCGGAGAAGAATCTCATGCCTATCAGTAAAAGGAGAGAAAAAGAGGCTCCTTTCCTACCTCATGCAAAACTACACATCTGCCTGTCCGTAGGGGAAAGGGTAAGGAAAAAAACTCAACTAAATGTATTGGAGGTCAGCGTTACTTCCCTGGACAACTCCGGATGCAAGGCTGCTGATCAAACTCAGCCCTTGAAGGCAATCCCCCAAACACCCAGGGCACATCTCTGGGGTAGTGTAGCTACATCTTCATTAGCACTACCGGGCACCAGCCGGAGGTAGGCTCCTTCAACTGGGAAACAGGGCTGCTCTCTGGCTGATGGCAGCGAGGAACCATCATACTTACAACTGTACTTGCAAGTTATGCGGTCAAAAGATGACTGCATGCAAGGGGAACGCAAATAAATAATTAAGGGAGCAAATAAACAAAGGGTTAAAAAGAAAGAGGCATTAAAAATGCCATTTCCGTCGTTCAGCTGTACACATCGGCCCTTGCTCAAAAGAAACGCCGGTCCTGTACAGAGAAGAGGCAGCAAACGCAGGCTGACAGGCAGGAGGTGGGGAGCTGTGCACATCCCTACCTACACCGTGCGTTTCGCTCTCCGGCTGCACGGGAAGGCGAAGCTCCTCGCGTCTACCTGTAACGCGGGGCTGCGGGGTTCACACCTCTGCCCTACCCCCTCACATCCACGCACAGCCAGCCCCCAGCACACACCCCCAGTTCGGCAACATACCCCCGGCTCATGCCCCCTGATATCCAGGAAAGCAATTGCTTCTCCAGGCACCCTTCAGCGATTAAACAGCAACGCAGATCCACGAAGGAATGGGCATGAAGACGGGGAAAGGGGGGAGAAGGAGGGAGATTGAGGGAACAGAATGAAACTCACGAATTCCTCAGTGTTAACACCACCAAAACCCCCGGTCCAACGTGGTGCCTTTCATAAAAAAAAACAAAAACCAAGAGAGAGCAAGAACAAAACCTACCAGGTCCCCTCCATCTCCTGACTGCCTTTGCCACCCTAGCTGCCCAGAGCCAAAGCAGGCTGGAGCTTCCCAGGTATTTCCGAAGAAGATGCACACCCCCTGTGCCTCCGCTGCCGCCCAGCATGCGGACCCAGAGGGATGCTCCCCGGTTACCTGGAGCATCCAGCCCCACGGAAGACAAGCTAGCCTTAGTACAGCATCACCCAGCCCCAGCGTGCGGCCAGCACCCTTCATTCAGCCCAAGGCGAGCGGGCAAGGGAGCAATGAGGGGCCGGCAAGGGCTGGGGAGCATCCATCGGCTGCTTACTTACCTTTAGTCACCTCCGGCTCCTGAGATGCGAGTCCCCATCAGATCCTCAACAACCTGCAGCAGGCAGCTGCTGCCACAATCCAGCCATTAAAACCAGGGGTGGGAGTAGCAAACAGACCTGGCCACAGTACCAAAGCCCCCAGCCAGGAGGAAAAGGGGGGCGGACAAGAAGCACGAAACGTTCCTCAAGCAAGGAAAAATTTGAAGAAAAAAAAAAAAAAAAAAAAAAAAAAAAAAAAAAGAAAAAGGAAAAAATAGAAAGAAGTAAAAGTCTTTCCTCTTCTGCCGTGTTCTTCAGCTACACAAGCTTCCTCCCGGAGGACGAGGGTGTGTGGGGATGGGGGAGGCGATTGCTCCCTCCTCTTCCCCGCCGTCGCCGACCCCTCTGGACGAAAGCCCCGCTCCGATTTACCTCCTCCAGGTGGGCAACTTCAGAGCAAGGTGATGTCTCCGGAGCCGGCACCTCCGGCCAGGCGATTCGGATGCGGCAGAGTCATTGCCTGCGCTG